GTCGGTCTGTGATTGGTCGGACGACGTGTTGTTTGACACAGCTGTTGGACAACGTGGGTGGCCTGTGTCTCGCGCCAGTAAGTCCGGCGAGCTTTACGACCGTGAGGTCTACACGGATTGAGGCCACGACCGGAAAGCCAGGCATCGGGACATGCACCCGTTAGAGTACAAGGTTGCCACAAGTCGAATCCTAAACAGTTCAGCGAAAGAAGATACGATCGCTGGAAAAAGAAGTTTATTGAACTGACGTTCCGAATTCTCACTCAAACCCACCATGGGACACAGTTTTAGATTTTTGTCCACATTCAAGCCGAGTCAATCTTTTCTGCGCCTTCCCTGGATACAACAGCTTGTCGTCACATTACAGCGTGAGAAAATGGGCTAGTCGTCTGGCAAATGCATAAAACAGGGGAAACTTCCGTCCCGATTTAATGCAGACGACGCGAGATAAGCGTGCCCTACTGCAGTTCAAACCAATTAGTCAAAAGTGCCCTTTGTGGTGGTGAAACCTAAACAAGCGCATTTTGCGAGGGGTGGAGGTTGGGTGCGTCCTACTAGAATCACCTCAAAGGGACTGTGTGCTCGTGATGCACTCTGGGCGTAATTAAAACAGCGAAGTGCGCCCTAGCTATAAACCTTTAAAATGTCCGGCGCATCCAGCTGTGAACGTCTGTCTACCTGCCTTCTCCCACCAAACACTTCAGTTCGATAATCTCATTCCCCACTTTTCATTTAGTCTGACGACGGGCGAGTGTTACCTGCTTGAAAATTCACGAATACAACTCGATTTTCCTACTTCCTTTTTATTTTATTATCTCAGAATGCAAAATGCCTCACTTATCCATATACAAAAATGTCCGCAAGTTCAGCCACAATGACCTGGTATGTAAAATACAATCAGGGTTACCCCATAAATCTGAGTATATCAGCCCTAGTTGAGCCCCTAGGTACAGTTAATGCATCGAGTCAATTTCGCAATGCACTCTACTAGCGATAGGAAAGGTTTCTCGCCTCACAGTTCTGACAAGTGCATGGCGTTGAAAATATAACCGAGTCTAATGCAAAATCCTCTATTGCGTATCACCAAAGAGAAAGCCCTCAGATGAGACGTACTATCGAGTCGACGCCTTTATAGCCATCCTGTGAACAATATGCGCAAAATTTTTGAAAAAGTCGAACAAAGCAATGTTTTATATGAAAAAGTTCTACCGCGGAACGTGGCACTGGTGATTGACCAGGGGCATTAGCTAAGTCCTACAATACAAAGTCAGTTTACCACTGAGAAACTTCCGAATAGCCATTTGAAATCCTCTCCAGCGGCACCACTGAATTTGTGATAAGTGCTGTCAACATATCTCAGGGAAGGGATTAGCAAGCAGGTGAATCATTCCGTTCCCTTTGTGGGGCGTGCATATTCATGCATCCTCTAATCGAAAGGAAATATCTCGGTCATAAATAGCGCGTCCGACCTACCTTCGTATTCCAATTAATAAGGGCCTAGTTGCAACGAATTCACACATATCAAAGTGTTACAGGACCTAACCCTCGTACAGTGCTAGGACCTGTCTGTGCGCACCGTCGCATGTACGGTAGGCCGGACTACGAACCTTGCGGGCATGGGTTTACATGAGCATCCACGGAACCGTATTAAAAATGCTCTGCTTTATAACTACGTCTAAACAAATAATCCTCCAAGTAGGGTAGTTCCTCTGCGTCTAGGTGCTACCATACAAAAAAGACACCTGAACCCGACCGTAGAAGAAAACATTCACGCCAACGATCTGCAGGAGTTTCTGGTTCGCAAACATGTACTCTTTTGAGGCTCCTCACATGCCTAAAACCTAACTGCGAACGCCTCGTCAATGAGCGTTCACCAATCGCCAACAGAACTCAGTCGCTCCCCTCTGTCTAGGGCTTCATTTTAGAGCCACCCACCAGCAGATCGTAGTTTAAAGCAGATAGCATTGCCGGTCAAGACAAACCTCCGTTGTCTTTGCCGGTAATGCTATTTTTAAACGCCTCCTGAATGCTATACTTAAGTTGCTGGATGATCCCGAGCATCCACTCGATCCAAACTGTTTGGTGTCGCTTATTAGTCACTGCAGCCCAATTGCGATTAACGTTCTGAAACAAGCAGTACTCAACCACACCTTCGGACAAACACCACACGAAAACTTTGCACTCAAAGGGTGCGACAACTTTTGAAGAATGACTTTACGACTCCGAGTGTCTTGGGGGCTATTTTTTGTCCGTTTAATCAGCTAATCAGGTTAAAACGGGCTTAATCACCCATGCAATCAAAGTATCACGGGTATGATCATTGTGGTATGGTGCAATGATTCACCCAGGATCCTACAGGAAATATTTCTTATTTGAGACTGCGTACAAGTTTCGCCGCATACTGCGTCTACAACAAACAGGAAACGTACTGTATCCCCTGGTGAGAAACATACACTATGACAAGGGGTTTTGAGAGCAAGAGATAGATAATACGGACTAAAGTAATACTATAACCGACCATTCGCGATGCTTCGATTACCATAAACAATCTAGACTGGTTACAGAGGTCGCCCATCAGCGCCGAACTGCACCACTTTAAGCAAGTTGCAGAGCGGCTAACCAAATGCTCAACGAAGAGACGGTTCGAGTCCAAGACTGTGGTGTGCCTGGCCGGCGATAACAATCAGGTTGGAAATTACCACTTTAGTCAGTAACCGCCTCGGAATTGTGTTGGACAAAGAAAAAAAGGAAGCCGAAACGGCAGTTTCATCTAGAGACGCCGAAAGGCAAGAATTGATTGATCGATGACGAGTGAAATAACTTCTTCAAAATTAAAAGGATGTAACTAGATCTGAGGTGATGGTGGGAAGGGGCAGGGGTTGCAATTTTTGTAACTGGGTGGTTTGAGATGTGTGCGAAAAAGTAGCGATCTAATAGTGGATCATCACCACCATAAGCACAATTTTCTCTGTCCGTAGTGGAAGTAGTCATCAAGGACGTCGCTGAACAGAGGTACGAGGTGAAGAAAGGAGAGGCAGACGTTGCGAAAGGCAAAAAAGAGAGAGGGGAGCAAAAGGCAGCAGCGCCGGTTGAAGCGAAACTGTGCAACAGGGTGCGAGTAAGGACGGGGGCGCTTGATATATGTACAAGATCACACGCTCGTGCATGCACGCAACGAAATCACAAAGTTAAACTCAACACGACAGACCTAGGAGCGGCAATGGGGGAGAGATAGAGAAAGAGAGTGGGGTGTAGAGGACAGACCAACTCAGAGGTGCAGTAAAATGCCATGATTGTGCGCAATTCTTTTTCTTCCCCTTTATTCTCATCTGGCTCATATTTTCCTGCATTCAGAAGCACGTGCAAAACCGCACATACACACACACGCACACACACACACAGGAAAGACATACAACGTCAGATAAATGGGTCAAGCATAGGAAAGCAGCACTAGCAGCAACAGGCTCGAGCAAATAAGCGCGGATCTTCTCTCC